TCTCCGTTTTTGTATAGGAGTGTCACCACCCCTGTACTCAGGTCTAGGCCTAGTGTTTCTTCCTCCCATGCTCTTGCGAGGAAACTCAAGAGAAGTGGGCCTAGGGTGTGCCAGCCTGCCATCCAAAATTCCTTTGAGAGGCCGTCCCTTCCTGGGCTTTGTTGGGTTTGAGGTCGCTCAGGGCTTGATGTAATTCTTCTAGTGATATGGGCTCCTCTAGTGCTTTGGAGGTTTTTGGTGAGATGGATTTATCTAGGTGGGTTAAGAATTTCTCTCTTGCTCTATTTGTTGAGTTGTTAACACCTATAAGAGTTTTGGATGTATAGAGGTCTTTGTAAAAGGTAGTAGCTATGTTGACTAGTTTCGTTGTTTCTGTGTTTGGGTTCCCGTTCACATCTCATAGGCATACTATTTTGGAGTTTCTGGAGTTGGCTTTGATTTTTTGGGAAAATAATTTGGACATGTTTTCGTTCAGTTCCCAGTCTTTTACTCTGGCTCTTAATTGGAGGCCGTTGAGCTTTAGTTTAGTCCATTCGCTTAATTCTTCCTTGGATTTGGTGAGTAATTCCGCATAGAATTTTGAGTTTGGATGATTCTGTAAGTTTCACTCTGCTAATTCTATCACGTTTTTTAGGGTCTCCTCTCTTTCCTTTCTGTGTGAGGCTAGTTTTCTAGATATTTGCGTTGTTTTGGAGCTGATGTTTTGGATGATTTGGGGGAGTTTAGTGTGTATGTCCTCATTTGGTTGTAATCGTGCTTGAGAGGTTAGTAATGACTGGAGCTCGGATTGGAATGCTTGGCTGGAGAGGAGGGCGTTATTGAAGCGGTAGAAGCTTTTACCAGTGTAGCCTTCCTTTGTGAGTCTGATATCTAGGGATATGGCTTTATGATCCAGACCCTTGTGGTATGGGTTACCGTGGATGGAACAGTTTTGTATGGCTCCTGATAGTGAGTCTGATGTGAGGAAGAAATCTATTCTGGAAAAGGATGTTCGCCCTTGTGAAGTTTTTCTGATACAGGAGTATTTCTTACTTTCTGGGTGTAGGAGGCGGTATGGGTCTAATAAGTTTTTTCTGGTTATGAAGTCATTTAGATCGGCACTGTTAGATTGTGGTGTAGGATCGAGGGAGTGGGGGATTTTGTCTAGATTGGGGTTCTGAATTGTGTTCCAATCTCCCATGATGATGGTGGGTGTGAGTGTGGGGATGTGCTGTTCAATCGTGATTAGGAAAGGGGTTTTGTCCTGTGGGGTGTTCGGTCCGTAAATCCCTATGATGGTCATCTCCTCTTCTTTGAATTTGATGTCTAGTTTAATCCACCTATCTGAGGTATTGTCTTGGTTGACATTCTGTATTTTTATTGTTTCGCTGGCTGATGAATTTTGATGTAGGAGAAATACAATGCCTGCTGAGCCATTTTCTGCAGCTTTGGCCCAGAAGGCCTTTCTGACGTAGGTTAGTTTCCTTGTGATAGCTAATTGTAATTTATTGTGTTCACTACTGTCGGTTAGGTGTGTTTCTTGGAGGCATGTTATGTCTGGGGGGTTAGGGCCAAACCAACCTATGGTCTCTGTGAGGTTTCTCCATTTGACTGGGTTGTCCAAAATGGATGCCAGACCGTTGATGTTCCATGACACACATGTTATTTCTGGTTGCTTTCTGATTTCTTTGAGGATATCGGCTTCAGTGGTGGGTTTGAATCTTTTTGCGTTGATGTTTGTCCCACTATCAGGTTGCCCGTCTGAGTGTTCTTCCGTTATTGCTTGGAACGGTTAGGCCTGATGTGGGACTGTGGGTAAGCTCAGGTAGAGGGTTGGGGAGTCTTTTTCCCTTCCTTCTCCTTTTTCTTCTCTTCCTTCTTTTCCTTTTCCTTCTTTTCCTTTTCCTTCTTCAGTTTCTCCAGTGTCTCCTCCTCATTTTTGCACAACCATTCCTCTCTCATGAAGACCGCGGTGCTGAAGGCGATTCTGTCAACTTCGTCCTTCTGACCCAGTAGTGAGTAGGGAATCTCACAGATCATCTCCCAAGATTTTCATGCCAGACCCTCCCTCAATTGAGCCTGCTGATCATAGAGAACTATGACTGGTCTCAGGTCGCTGAAATGTCTTTCCCCGCTGTCGCCGTCCCAGAACACTTCCACGCAGTCGTTCTCTATCACTTTCATGGCCAACGGGCGATCGTCTGAGATGTTTGCCCTTGCAAAGTTGAGGCGTTTGTGTGAGTCTTGTGTTGTGATGATGCCCAGTGAAGGCCGGACTGCAATCTGCCATTCCTTTTTGTCTGAATTGTAACGGAAGGGCAAGAATGGGATCGTGGGGGAGAGGGTACGCGCATCAAGTGTGGCTGCCACTGTCAGATCCTGGGGGTTTTGGTCTGCAATTTTGTCGAGGGAGTATGAGTCTGCTCCCAGCTCCAGATTTTGTTCCTGCAATAAATTTGTTTGCCTCTCAAGAATGGCGATTTGCCTTCTTTTTTCCTTCTTCAGATTGTTCTTTTGCTTGAGCAGATTCTTTGCCAGGGAGATCATTTTAGTTTCCTCTGTGTCATGCTCCCCGATGTTATTGATCCTGGGTGGCTCATTCTCACTTAGGGCCAATTGGCCGCGTCGTCTCGCAGATATGAGTTGGGCCACTCGATTGGCTTCTCACTTGATTGTGGGACTGAGTGTGAGGTTCCTGTGGTGGCATTTGTGTTCATTGCATCATTGAGCTGATCAGCGTATTGCAGGGCCAAGAATTCAGAAAAGATGTTCTCTGTTGGCAGCACGTCGTAGCGGTTAGGGGTAGTTGGGAATCCACCTGTGGCGTTTGTGTTCGACTCTTTCTTCAGGATGCTGATGTGTCCGGCATGAGCCAGCCTGATTTCCAAGTCAAGGTCTCTATGTGCTTTCAGCAATTCAATGTATTCATCCAGCCATTCCGGGGTGTTGTCAGAGTCCTGTCTGGCTGTTTGCTGCTGATTTCACCGGTGGTGCTAAGTCCAAGTGCATTTCACTTTCCCTGACCTCAATTGAGGTGCTGCTGTCTCTGCTTTTCTTGGTGTCTGGAGATTTGCCTTTTTCTTTGGGCTCTTCTTCTTCGTTCCTGTTCTTTCTTTTCGTTGGTCTCGATTCTTTCTTCTTGCCCTTGTCTGTGTTCTTTGTCTCCAAGTCAGTTCTGGTCTGAAGGATTTCGAGGTAGGATTTCTCTGCCTCTTCCTATGTTGTGCACATCGCTGAGAATCTGATTTTTGTGCATTGTCTGTTCCAGGCGATCTGCATTGCCCAAAGCCACATTTTCGTATTTGTATGTAGACCTGTCATTCCTTTTGGCTCCTCCTTTTTGCCATCTGCTTCCATGTGGGGGGAAGACATCTGGCTTGCATGCTGGTTCTGCGTCCTCCAGTGTCCATATCCACGCTGGGTTGTCTTTGAGGTCGTCAAAGACCCAGCCCGCCTAGGCTGGGTCGTTGATAATCCAGATGCCTTTCATTGCATCTGCTTCGACCAACATTGAGGGGTGTAATCTTCTGCCTTCTCCTTTCCTCGTGTTCAGGGGACAGAGAGGGTCGTTCCCCATGTGTCCCTTTATCCTGCATCTAAAGCACATGGGGTTCGCCTTCGTGGAGATGTAAACTGTTGTTACCTCCTGATCTGCTCTGAAAAACCATTTGTCAGGCAGTTCTGGTGGGTTGCTTCCTTTGAGTTCAATGCATGCGATTCTTGAGTTGGTGTTGGGGGCAAGGAAGCCTGGGGCTGATGAGACCCATTCTACCAGAGGGTACTGAGGGTAAGATTCTTTCAATCTGTCCTCTACCATCTGGTGTACTTCGTCAATCAGGTTGTCAAACTGGATCCAAAAGGGCTTGTACATCAATGTCTGCCGGTGCCTCGATGTGCCTTATGTTGCTGCCCTGTTGGGTTCCATTTGGAGATGGAGACCACCGATCCTTTGCAATAGAGGGCCTGTACTGACAAGAGGTAGGCTGCGTAATCTGGTTCAGCACATAACACTGTGACAGCATTTTCCCCTCTGTTGTAAGGCAATCTTGGGAACAGTGTCCCGCAGGTTCTCCATGTTCTGGAGAGCGTCTCGGACCCTTTTCCTTTTCTCAGTGGGCGGCAGATGTTTCAGTTTGGCTGGGAAGGAGCAAATGACTGCGTGTTTTTCGAAGAATTCGTCTAACACGGGCAAGTGTTCCTTTGGATATACCCAGACTTCGACCTCTGCTTCTTCATCCTTGCTGACTTTCACTATTTCTTTAGTGATCATTGGTTTGACACGTGTTTCCTTTATCATGAGGTTGAGGACCTCTTGGCTTGGGTCTTGATCATTAGTGCTTCGTGCTCTTTTGGAGCCTGAGGTCGCGCCTGACGCTGTACCAGAGGCTGGGACGAAGGTTGCGGCAGAGCCTGCTGCTGAACCTGAGGCAGAGCCAGAGGTTGAGGTTGATGCCGCTGTCGTGGAGTGAGTCGCTGCCATGGTGTAATGTGAGTGGGTTGACCGATCGTCTCCTCACTGACAGGAGACCGTGAGAACAGATTTGGGGCGTGTGATCAGAAACTGAGCGGTGAAAGAAAAAGAACAGAGCTTCGCCTCCCCAATTGGGGAGCGTGGGATCAGACACTGAGCAGTGAAAAAAAGGCACACAGCTTCGCCTCCCCACCTGGGAAGCGTGGGATCAGAAACTGGGCAGTGGGAAAACAAAAGAGTTAAAAAAGAGTAAAGCTTCGCCTCCCCACTTGGGGTAGTGTGGCCAACCTAAGCAGGTGGAAAAAGAAGAAATCTGGCAAATCCCCAAAGGGCTCAAAGCATATCAGAACAAGGAGGATGGAGAGGTGACAGGAGATAGCATCCACTCTGCTCTGTCTGGCCAAAGTGTGATGCTTAGAACAGCCATCACAGATAATGTTTTCCTGCACTCCCATTCTTACTCTGCTATTTGTAACCTATTCTCAACTTGCCCACACTAGGATAGCTTTGTCCAAGAGGAGGGTCAAAACTTGAAAAAGCCTTCACTAACCTCCTCAACTTTGCTGCCCAGCTCAATGCCAGGTGATGGAACTTCACTTTCGGTATTAGATGTGCTGCGATTACGTCGTGACACGTCAGGGAAATCACTCGTCCTTTTGGTCTCCATCATGATGTCAAAGTATCCACCTGTGCCAAATGGAACTTTACCACCTAGCCCGCTCTTTGCCTGTGACAGGAGAGGGCTCTCCTGTATGCCCTTTGCAGCAGCGTCAAGGAATGCACGACCCGGATCCTGCAAAGTAAGCCAATCAACATGAAAACAAGTGAGACAATCAGTGTGAAAACAAAAGCAAAGCATTAGACTTTGTGACATGGTCACCAATCTGACAATATGAGCTCATACCAACTTTTCACATGCTTTTCCAAAATCGAAAAATGAATGGCTGCAGCAGCTGCCATGATTTGTTTTTCGTTGATGACGTTTGCAGTTGTGGATAGAGGCATTGCTTTTCTAGGATAAATCTTCCTGGTGCGTGAATGCATTTCCTTTCAATATTTCCAATCTTTTTTTGTTCATTGTTCTTCCTCCCTTTTTCCCTTTTTTTTTTTCTTCGTGCGACGGCCTTGAGATATCAACAATGAACTGACCTGCCCCATGTAATTCAACATACACATGCAAACTGTAGTCGTAGTCCAAATGCTCGGCTTAGGCAGCCGCAGTCTTCTTCACTCAGTCAATGACAGAATCCGATAGGATGTGTCCTCGGGACGGTGAACCTCATCCATGACAAGTTTGAGGCAGTGAAGGTGGTCTTTATAGAAACGATTGATTCCCGTTAATGTAAAAGACATAAGGTTTGTTTGCAATTGTTTTATGCCTCACTGCCTATGGAGAAAATAAACTCGGAAGAGATGACTACGAAATGTTGGCACAGAGGAAACCGGGTGTGAATAAGTCAATGCAATACAATAGAATTGACTAGATCCATCACTGTTACAGGACTGCCACTGCCCCTGCGTACCTGATAGCAGGCGACACTGAATGGAGCCTTGATGCTGCAATGACCGAGAAATTCCTTGTATCCAAACACATTATGTTTCACAATGGCACCAGGATGTGTCATATAGTCTGCAATCAAACTGAAGTGAAAGGGCAGGATGTTTACATCTCGTCCGTCAAACGCTGCATGAAGTTTCTGCCAACACAGCAATTAAGCAAGAAGAAACAACAACCGGCAACAGATGATCAGTCTACAATGGCACCAGCATGCGTCATATAGTCGTGAATCAAACCGAAGTGAAATGGCAGGATGTTTATGCTATACTAAGCGATAACAGGTTGAAGTGGAGGAATGGGATGGCTCTTGAAGAATAGACCCCGTAACAGCAACAGAATAACCAATTTGGAGGGGGGTGCTTGAGAGGCAAAGCTGAGAACCTGCATGACATCAGGGATTTCCGAACTGCTGGCTTAACTGCCAGTTAACTACCACAGGAAGAACATTCTTCTCCCACTTCCAAGGTTCTGGCTAAAAAGGCACTTTGGTGGTCTCCACAAGTCTGAGGAGGAGAACAGAAAGAAGGCAAAGGCTAGAGGACGGTTAATCCTCCTTTCAGGGAGCAAAATCAATGTTGTTCAGGGATCCTTCGGCCTTGATAATATATGACCATTTGAACGAATTATATACTGAATGAAATTACAAGCTCTGCGTAATTAAAGAAGTGTTCTTTCTAAATCAATAATAGTGATATCATTTCATAATCCGTACAGATATGGCTGAAAGTCTGAAGTAGGTGTACGATTCCCAAGACATGAGGCGTCACGTACACTCTTTGGAAATTCCATAACTTACGGGTGGACGAAATTCCGAAAGTCGTCGAGGGCTCGACAGGATTCGAAAAAAAAGAAATTCAAAAGGAAAGAAGCAAAAACTCCCGCGCGATTACCGCGTCGGAAACCCAACAGCAGAACAAGAAAGAAGCGACGTCAAACATTATTAATCGCACCTCTGTCGGCGCGCCAGCCACTCAATCGACCATCCCGGGATTTGCCCATCCGTGGCCCCAGCCATCCGAAAAGAGGCGACGTAAAAAGAAGAACAATCAAGGACACCGATGCAATTTTCCCGTTGGATCCCATCTCCTGCAATTGGCCCAACCTTCCCAGCTTAGGACCCCTCATTGTTATCGCACAGAGAATCGCGCGGAACAGAAATTGGTTCGTCACATATGCCCAGGGGGTTCCAATCTTAAGCAAGCTCCTGCTTGCTTAGTCATCACGACACGTGTCGATTTCTCTAATCGACCGACACGCGGAGCTTTCTTCGTTGCCACTTACCATGTGAAAGAGTGTGGAAGTCATCCAGTGTGGCGTACATGGCTCTATCCTACAAGTTCCCCAGGAAGGGCTCTATCCATTGGAGGAGGGGATCGCTCGTGCCATCCTTGCGACACGTGCCATGCAATCGCGCATCAGTAATTAGCAGGGAGAGGAAAGGGAAGGCGGTACATGGGGGCGTGTTGAGGGGGTGGGTCAATCGGGAGTGGGGGTATAGAGCTTTCCATTCCTGCGACCGTCACCGGAAGCTCCTGATATCGGACGATCCGATGGAAGCGAGGGAAGCGGGTCCCACTATGGGGGAGAGATGCGAGATAGTCGGGGTAGAGGGTTGCGGAGGTGCGGAGGAGGGCCGTCCGGAATCGATCATGGTTTTCGCACGCGGGGATAGTCCCCGTGATCATGCAATAAACCTCGATCATGTTGTGGCCTCGCCACGCGGCACTAAAGAGAAGGACATGGCGGCAAAAGACAGGGTTGGCGCACCGAGTAGAAGGGTGCGGGTGTACCGTGACAGCGAGGCGGGTAGCGTAGAAGTGACGGAAGGTGTCGGTGGGGAAGGGGTTGTGGGGAAAAGAGATTGGGCGGTGATCTGGCGGAGGGTGAGGTAATCAAGGGGACGGCGGGATAACGACCGGGGACGAAGCCCAATGCCCCGCATCGACATGCGTTCGAACTGGGGGGCGGGGGGATGGGGAGGGGGATCGGCTCCGTCGCCTGCGCGCTGGTGCGCTCGAAGTCTCGGCAGCAGGGTCCCCATCGTCGTTCTTGGGTGGCTCGGGATCCTTGGTCGGGTCGTTCGGGATCAGCAGATCCACGCCGCTCGCGTACTCCAGTGGCTGCTTCCCGACCGCGATTTCTTCTCTCCGCCGCGCTGCCGCCTCGGGATCCTCCTTCTGAGCTTCGGCGTGATCCGCCTCCTCACCCAGAGTCTCCTACTCAGATCCTTCCTCTTCCTCCAACTGATCTTCTTCTTCTTCTTCTTCACCCTCCTCCCCCGATTCTTCCTCGCTATACTCACTGTAACTTCCTTCCTCCTCCGCGATTCCTTCTTCGCTTTCGTCTTCCACCTCCGCTTCCTCTGCCACGGCTCTCTCTTCCACCGTTGTTCGAGGCGAAAAGAAGAGGAAGCCGATGATCCCACGGGGGTTCAGGTACTCGGCATGCGATGGGTAGCTGCCGCCTCCCATTCGATCCTCTAAGCAGGCTGACCACTACAAATACGGCGTTCATCTTCGCAAAAGAACGTGCGGCACTGGGCTCTCGTCACACTGCGATATGATGTCGAGGGGGAGGTCGTCGACCAGCTGCGCAAAGGGGATCGTGAGTTCCCACACGATCGTCTGCCGATGGCCTGGTTCTACCGCTCCAAAGACGAACCCGAGGAGATCTCCTTCCACCTCTATTCTCCAGGCCTGGATGATTAGCAGCTCCACGTTCTCCCTCGCAGCACGATGCTCACTGTCCCGTGTCCACGTCAGCTCCACTTTGACCAGGCACAACGAAAGAGTGAGGTAATGCTCACACCAGATTTCCCAGTGTCTCGGCTCGAGAAGGCGAACGACGAGTGGCTGGATACAGAAAGAAAGATAGGGATGGAGAGCAGACTGCCAGAAAGTGGGGAAGAGAGAGTGGAGAGCAAAGGTTGAGAACTGGGACCAGTTCATTGAGGGCGCGGAAGGGGGACGAGCTCTGGGAGCGCTACCGTCGGTTCGTGTCGGGACGTGCGGAGCCCGCCGACGTCGATGCTGTCGGTGACGACGAGGTTGTCACCGTGCCGCGCAAGCCACCAGCTCCACTCCTGTGCTAACTGTTCACCCCACTTCCTTAGCGATGTCCGGATTGTCGTATGCCTTGTAGGATCCAGCGCGCTGATGTCCCCGCTGAAGACGACGACGGTAGACACGTGGCTGACCCCTGGCGCCAAAAGTCGTCGATAAGCCGATGCCTCTGCCAACACGAGTGTCTGGCTGTGCGCCGCAAAACGGAACTTTGCTGCCGCATACACCCCCGTGGTGCTGAAGAACTGCGCAAATCGGAGAAAATCCGAACTGATCCGTGGATGATGGACTTGTCTGATTGCCGAAATATCGCCGCGTGGTGCCAGCATGTGCTCGCCAAGAACCTGCTCGGTGGAAAAACTCATGGCAATGGCGTTTGCGACGGAGTATCAGCAGGGGAGCGAGACAGAGAAGGAGAGGGCGATAAGCAGTCGTCGTCCTCTTCCGTGCTGGAGGAGGGGGTGGATGAAGGTGGAGATGGAGAGGAAGGGAGAGGCCGCAGATAGGACACGTGGCGAGTGATCGGGCGGGCAGATTGGCTGTCGGAGACCTCAGGCACGAGCCGCACCATGTTCACTCCGTTCGGACCAAGCTCGACTACGCGAAATTGCTCGAAGAATCGTGGCGCTAGCTTACCCCGGCGAGCACATTTCCTCATCTGCACGATGTCCCCTAACTTATATTGGGGCCATGGTCCCACATTCCCATTCCGGGCCTCGTAACTGCGGACCTGTCGGCCGTGGGCCAACTTAGTCATTTTCTGGCGCTTTCAGGCTAATCGAGGAAGGGACCGCTCCATCAGCTCTAGGTGTCGCTTGGCCTTGTCTCGAACCGTGGCCCTCGTGGGCCGTCGGTTCAACGAAGATTCATCTGGGAGGCTCGGTGTTGAAATGCAAGCCACACTATTGGTCCGTAATTGAAAGGGGCTCAAGCCCGTCGATTCGTGAGGCGTCCCCTGATGGACCGCCAGGATGTGATCCACGATATCGGGTCAGGGTCTCGGATCCCGTGCCGCGATGTTTCGTCGCAGTGCAGTCTTAATCACCCTATTTGCGTTCTCTACCAGCCCGTTAGACTGTGACATGTGGGGTGCAGTATTCCGAATGGCGACGCCGTGCATGACCAGATTCCTCAAAACTTCCCCCCTGAATTCTACCCCATTATCGGTCAGGATCTCCTCCGTGTCCTGATGCATTCCTAGAAAACGGTTGATGTATCGCGCGATTTCAGCCGCCTGTCGCGTACAACACTGATATGCCTCGATCCATTTCGAGAAGTGGTCTACAAATACCAGTAGGATTGAATACTCACAGCTATTAGGTCCAGGGGGCACCACGGTATCGGTAGTATCCATGCTAACTCTTTGGAAGAGCCGTTCAACTACCATCGGCACTATCGATCTTGGCGGCTGAATCGGCGCCTTGTTAGCAGCGCAAACCTGACAGTTCTAGACGATGAATTTAACATCGTCGCGAATGTTGGACCAGTACCACTCATTTATCAACTGTCGCTTTCGTGATCCGTACAGCAAAGTGGGTTGCGGCTTCCTCATGCACCGTCTTAACCCAGTCATACCTCATGAACGGGTGCGGCACTACCATCCAAATTCCATTACCGTCCGTTTTTCGCTTCTCTAACCGACCCTCGTTACAGCGATAGTCCCGAGCTCTTTCATTGGCCCTCCTCCGGTCCCCCTTAGTGAAGTCCTGGAGGGGATTACCTACCAAGGTGGCAATTAAAGGAATATCCATCCATACCTCGGCCCTTCTAAATTTTCGGGTCTTTTCTAACCCTTCTGACGTGGCTTCGAGAAAGCGCGCCTCGGTCGGGATCTTATCGACTCGGCACAAAGGGCACAACCAAGGCTTATCGCCATTTCTGTACTAAACGCAAGAGCCATGGGCTCGTGCGACACATTGCCGACAATCTACCCACTCGACATAACCTTCCCCACTAGGACGCATAGGGACAGAGTAAACGCGTGAAATCGCTTCGCAAAAATAACAAAATTGATCTGGTAGAGAAAGAAGGCATGAGGACGAGAGGGGAGAGAGAGGAGTTGCAAGATTACCTTCGTCACCCATTGCCACATGCCGGCTTCTTGCCACGTGGGAAAACTGCCACTTGTCCGTACTTGGGTCCGTTCGTTGACTCCGGTTCCTTCCACGGGATGATTTCTTCACCTTTAGGTACCTTAGCTGGTCGATGCAGACGTGTCAATCCGTCCGCATTTCCATGCCTCTCCATCTTCCGATGGATGATATCGAAGTCGTACTCCTGCAGGCGCACTGCCTAGCGCCCAATCATACCTGTGTAGTTAGTGAGCCTCTTCAGAGCCAGCAGTGGCTCATGATCAGTCACTAGAAGGAACTTTTGTCCATAAAGATACGGATGGAAGTGCTGGATTCCCCAGACCACAGCGTAACATTCACCTTGCGGGGCCGAATCGTTCCTCCACTCGTCTGGCACCGTGCGTGATGCGTATTCGATGACATGTTATCAGTCGTCGTTCCCCTTTTGCGCTAGAATGGCGGAAATTGCCTCCGGTTGCCAGTCCGTAATGAGAATGAACTGCTTCGTAGGGTCCGACCGGATCAAAATAGATGTTGTCGCCAGGGCGTCCTTGAGGGTGGCGAAAGCCTGCTCGCACTCGGCGTCCCAACTGAGAGGCTGGTCATTCCGCAGCAAGCTCGTAAGGGGCCTCGCTATCGCGGCAAAGCCCTTGATGAAACGATGATAGTACGATGCCGGTCCCAAAAAGGCTCGAGCCTACGTCAACGATGTGCGGACGGGGGCATCCTTCACCGCCGCGACCTTTCTCGAATCTGGCTGCAGTCCTCCCCGCGTCACCACGTAGCCCAAGAACGAGATCTCTGATAGGAAAAACTCGCTCTTCTCGAGCGTGATCTTGAACCCAGCGTCTCTCAGAGCTCCCAGTGTCCATTTGATATGTTGTGCGTGCCCGTGATAGGTTTCCGAGTAGACTAAGATGTCGTTCATGTACACGATGACGCAGAAGTTGATCATTCCTTGATTCAGTCGTGTTTTGTTGACGAAGTTCTGAAACGTCACATTCATGGCTCGTTGAAACATAGCAGGCGCATTACAAATCCCCATCGGGAACCAGACCCACTGCCACGTGCCCTCAAACAATACGAAGGCCGTTTTTGGTCGATCTCCCTCCTTAACCAGAATGTGATGGAAACCGTGACGAATATCAAATTTACTAAAATAATTAGCACACCCAATCGCATCCAGCAAATCATCAATCCAGGGAAGGGGATACACATCTTTAACCGTGATATCATTCAGTTTCCGATAATCAATGCAAATGCGAATCGACCGATTCTTCTTCGGCACTAATACTACCGGGACTGACCATGGCCCAGTGGCGGGTTCGATCCAACCATTAGCTTCGAACTCCCGAATCCGTTGAAGGGTTGTCTTCCGTTCCACCAGGGAATACCTGTAGGGTTTACAATGGATGGGAGGATGGTTTCCAGTTTGAATTTCGTGCTGTATGACTAATGATAGTCCAATGTCTGTGTCTGTCACGCTAATCGCTCCCTGATAGTCTTTTAGAATGTCCGCGATTAGGTGATGGATCTCACCAGGTACGTAGTGGGGTACGTGCAACTCATACGATTGATTCCATATTCGTACATCGATTTGTTTCGTACTTACTTGCTTAGTGGTTTCAGGCGGCGGTGCGGAAATAAACGAGTTGTCCGATCGTCAAGAGAATACCGTGGCCATCATTTGCGCATCCTGCTCCCGAATGGCCACGTGTTCCTCCGGGGTTACTCCGTCGCGAATATCCTGCCATGGCACGGGTTTTGTCGAG